AATTTTTCAGTCCTTGGACACTACTGAAAAATGGACATAAACACACTCACAGTAGATAACACTACTGTTTTTTGCATTCGTAGAAGGTCTGACGTTTGAATAGTTTAAAGTTAAATAAAGAATAAAATGACTGCTCGTTTTCAAAAAATTTCCAGTATGGATTCTTCACTTCTAAACATAGACAAATTTTGTTCTGGAAAAGATTGATTGAATCATCAAATTACGAGATCATCAAAGTCTCACTTTTTTATGAATTTTCAGTTTACTTGAACTTTTCAAATCAATTCATCGATGAAGTTTTTGTACCACGTATGAGACATTTTTGTTTATTTTTGATATTTGTCATGTACACTAAAAAAAGATGAGGAATAATCGAAATAATCACACTTCAAAAGACAAAACCAAGTAAAATTATAAAAAATATTTCACAAAATTGTTCTTAACATGCATGAATATGTAAATTACATTAGATGATAAGATATTCTATATAGTTGATCATCGATCAGAATTTAAATGTTTTCGTATAAGACAATGAAAGTTCAAAAACTTGTATTATTAACGATAAAACGAATTTTCATAGTTCAAGAATAAAAATTCTTTTCTATTGAAATAAGACGAAATATTTACATCTTATTTTTGTCCATCATATTTGTAAAACTGCTAGTAAACATTATCTTAAACCACAAATACTTTATAGTGAATTAATATTTACAGTTTTAAAAATCGTCTCTGATTTAGAGTCTTTTATAAAGTTTAAAAGTATCTAAAATTATTTTATTTGAATACAAATAATTCAGTACGAATGGGACAACAATCTAGAAATAAGTAGGATATTCTAAAACAATTCAAAACTTTAAACAAATATACTTTTCTTTTTTTTTTGTTCAAACTATCACTGAGAAATATTTAGTAACAAATTTAATGTCGAGAAAATGTTCCTTCACCATTATAATCTTGTGGTGGTCGATAATTATCTCGATATTCAGTTGAAGCACGTGCTGCACGATCACGTAATTCTTGTGCACGAGCTTTTCGTTCTTCCATTTCACGAAAATAAATTTTTGCTTGAAGACGAAGACGTCGTTCACGAAGTAAATCTGCTAAACGTTGTTCTTCAACTTCATGATGTTTAAGTTGCTATGAAAACAAAACAAAACCAGTTAATTACTTATTATAAGAACTTTTTCTTTTTTTATTTATCCTACATGAATAGCTAATGAATTAAATGTTCGTTTTTCCCCATGTTGTTTGTCATCATAACGTCCACCATAATTAACAAATGGTGGACGAATTTCTGCACTCTCTTGATCATATGTTACATTGCATTGAGCATAAGGTGTTTTAATAGCTACAAATAAATATTTATTATATAATTTTGAACTTTTTATAAGTATTTCTTTTTTTTTCATACCATATTTGCTTTTTTTCTGAATAAAATTATCCCAATTACAATTATGTGATATTTGTTCTGGTGGAAATGTTTTTGGTCGACTTAATCGTTCTAGATCAGCAGGTGTTGGTGGTAAAGGAAAACGTTTCTTTTTTATTCCAGTTGATGGTCGTTGTTCAGCTGATCGTGGTCGAATTAATTGTTGACGAATATAAGATGAATGTGGTCGATCTAATGTTTCTTGTCGTCGATCAGTTTCTTTTAAACAAGCAACACATGGAAGACATTCTCGACTTTCTCGTAAATGTGAAAGTGAATGTTCACTTTTAACACGAAATGTATATGGTTCTTCGAAAACAAGACGTGATCGAGTTGATGGACGTTTCGATTGATTTTTTTTTTCTGGTACAAATTTTTTTGATTTTTTTGTTGACATGATCTCTAAAAATAGTACGATTAAAATAGATGTTGAATTGTCAAATCAACCAATGGATCAAATGCCTTAAGAACATTCAATAAAAGCCACAAGAAAAGATGAAAAGCGTTCATTTTCTTTTTATAAAATATCATTGCGTTTCTGAGAGCAACCGAGAGGAAGGGTACGAATTCGTTCGTATAGATGTCAGCAGTTAAAATATGTAATTTGATAGGTAATTATTAATTAAAATAATAATTATTCTAATTTCTAGATTAACAAATTCTACAAATGACAGATAAAAAAGCGACATTAATTTTTTTGTTTGTTTGAATTTAAGACAAATTAAATTTTAATAGCCAAAACTTTGCATCGTAAGGTTAATCGAGAACTTGTCACTCATTTTTTTTATAAAAAAAACAACATACATTCAACCATAACTAGAGTCTAGGTGACATAATTAGACATTTCCCAAGCGAAAGAAAGATGTTGAAAGGACAAATTCTGTTCACAATCTGGAAAGGTTTCGTTTTTATCCAGTGTAATATTGTTTGTTTTTTGTTTGTCAATTCTTAAAAACTAATATTCAACGTTCTTCCCAAAACCCAATCGACTGTAGCAAAATCTTTCGATCGACCTCCTTCTCCTTCGAATCCTAGTTAACCACAGAACATCTTTGAAAATAATGAAAGATATCTTTCTATGGTATTTGCAAAGAACAACAAGTTCTAATACCATTAATTTCATACTTTCCATATCTATAAAAATTGCTTAAATCATTATTATTTAATTATAGACATCTTGAAATTCTTCAGGTATGTTTAAAAGATTCCTAGAGTCTATTTTTCTCAGATTGAATAATAATTCTATGAAACGGGTATTATGACCTTTTGATCTACTTCAATAAAAGTTTGTAATCTTTGATTATCGTATTAAAATATTTTCTTAAATACTAATGAATATTAAAAAATCCTTAATGAATAAGACATTTATATTTATAAAATTCAGTAGTGGATTTAGATAGAGACAACCGTTCTTTTCTTTCGAACTATTTTTCTCAGCAGAAGAAGCCTCAAAACAAACCAATATAACCTTTTATTTGACATAAAAACATTTTTTTCGAACTGTGATTGTCTCCAGTCATCGAAACCCTAGATCTATCATCAATAAATTTTGTTTATTATTTTTCTTTAGAAGATTGGATTTAATTAAAATTTTGCTAGACATTTCTATTTACTTTTATTCAACACGAAGTAATTAGTTCATTTCAGTTAAAAATTTTATTTTACGACGATCTCTGATACTATTTTTTTTACGAATCTAGACAGGAAAGTCACAAAATTTAATTATTAATGCCAATCATAGATAATTAACCTAAAGAAGAACTTTTTTATTATATTATATAATTGTCTATATTTCGTATTCAACGATTGACACTGAGTGTCACATCAAATAATAATAATAAAGAAAAGAAAAATTAACTAACAAAAACAAAAAAATTTCACTAGAAATAATCATAATTTTTTAAGTCTTTTCCATGTTGTTGAACCTAATGCTTTTTCAAAATGATCATCAACAACTGATTCAGTTATTTGTTGATTAATCAATGATGTTCGATCTTCATTTGATGATGTATTATTATTCGATGGTACAAATTTTGCTAATGAACGAGCAAAATGTTCTTCGATTGAATCAACTAAATCATCATTCAAAATTAAACAAATCAAAATATATATATTGAATTTTAGTAAATAATACAAACCTATTGTTCGTTCTATTGGAGAACTACTTGATGATGAATCATCAGGAGTTAAACAACGGATATTAAATTTATTACAATTATTTTCTAATGATTTGCGAAAATGTTCATCTATTGTTATATCTGTTCTTTTTTGTTGATCTAGAAACAAAACCAAAAAAAACAATATTAAAATTTTTTCTTGACAAATAAAACATCATACCTTCGACTATAGTATAACCACGCTGTTGTTGTTGTTGTTCAATTAATGTTCGATAATTATCTAGATATTGTTGTGTCATTATATTATCGTAAGTTGATGAATGATAATAATTTTTATTTTTAATATTGGTTGGATTAACTAATAAATAAGCATATTGTTGACGTAATAATTCTAAATGTGGTGATGATGGTGGTGTTGGAACAACAGGTGAATATGGTATATATATTTGAAGTGGATCATTTTGTAAATAAGCTCTAAAATAAAATATAATAAGATACCAATAGAATTTTTCAATGTTTAATAGTTAATTCTATACGCATAACCTCAAAATTTTGAAAGAAATAACTTACTGTTTAATTTTTGTTGGACAATATTCATTTTGTTCAATATTTGTTGTTGATGTATCGATCATATAAGCACGACGTTTTTTTAAAGGAAGATTTTTTAATATCTGATTTTGATTGCACATTAAATTGTTATTTATAGCCGTTCCGTTCATTGAATATAATTGTAACTAAATATTTTCTAAAAAAGCTTACACAAACAAAAAAGAATAAAAATAAAGAACGTTTTTTTTTTTAATTTCCTTCGAATTCGCTATTTTCTCTGTCTCTCTCTCTCTCTCTCTCTCTCTTTCGTTCGTTCATTTGAAAAATAACAACAACAATAACGAACATATTATGAGAAATAAACGCAGATTGCATTGAAATTCCTAACATAATTTAGCTTGATAGATAGACAGATGTACAGCATATATGTTGTTCGTTCTCTTTTCTGTCCTGAGAAACATGTAAGACATATATATATATATATAGGGAAGAGAAATAACGATAGAATGTCAAACGTCACTTTTTCACACTATACGTACATTTGAATAACAAAAATGACATTAAAAGAAAAAAAGAAAAAAAGGAATTTTATAAAACAAAATCATTCGATATAAATCAGTAAACTGAAATTGTTTTAATGTATTTTTGTTTTTGGTATTCCGATTAATGTCCTTGGTTTGTTCTCTTTCGTTTCCTTCCATCATTTCTTTGATTCGGTTTTTTTGGTTGTCAGCATCATCATTACCCTGACTTGTATTTTTGTTTTTCTTTCTCTCGATTTTTTTTTACTTCATTATATTTACGAATATTTTGCAAGAAAACATACAGTCAGCGATGCCATGGTACATAACCAAATAAAAACATATGCGTCAGACACAACAAAAGAAGAAAAATTCAACATGAATAATGCTATAAAAAAATTAACAGCAGACATACACCTACACAAAGTATTCAGAATAAAAAATTCGAAAGGAGAAGGTACTCAGTAATTGTTTTGTGGTAAAAAAAAACATAAAACAGAAGTATGTACATCATATTCCATATGACAACCAAAAAAGAAAAAGAATTTTTTGAATCGCTTAACTATTTTCGCCGCAACAAACAGCTTTTAAAATAGTATGTAAAAAAACAAAAGTAATACATCGATTACTTACTGTTGTTTGCTATTTGATAGTCGATTTCTCTTTTTTTTTTCTTTCTTTTCATGTAAATTATTCTATGCATACCAATCAAACATATGATAAAAGAAAACAAAAACAAGAAATATTTTGAAATCTGCCACTTATTTTATCATAGGTATGTCATTCATTAAAATTTCACTATGACGATATCATTGATACACTTTATCAATGGTATGTGTTAATTACACTAAATAAAAATAAATACATGACCAATAGTTTGTATATATCAAAAATAAAAAAATAATTGATTTATTAAATATCAAAATCATTTTGTAAAGTACGTTCATTATACGTAAATATGAAAAAAAGAAATGTGTAATCAATCAAATATGATGTGTGAGAAAAAAAAACGGAATAAAAAAAATCATGCTAGGTATGCAATAGCTAAATATAAGTCAATAATTAGAGAACAGCAAGTCGAATAGATAGATAGTTTATTTATATCATCAAAATATTTTAATTAAACGATGTTTAAAATACCATTAGATTCATTTACACACGAACGAATTAATGACTAAGATATGTAAAGTAATATTTATGAAGATAAAGAAAATAAAACAAAAAAAAAAAACGAGAAGTCAACAAATTTTCGTTTTATTCCATTCCAAGCGAACTATAAAAAAATAAATGAAATAAAAAAAAAAAAAAAGAAAATAAAAAACTTGTTGCAAACCTAAATGAAATTGTTCCTTCATCATCATCTCGTCCCTATTTAAATAAAAGTCAATGTATTTTATACCAAAATAAAAAAAAAACAAAAACAATACTAACCAAATATTTCATAATATTTTCAATTTGTGCAACTGGAAATGGTATTTTTGCTTTTCTTAATCCATCACAAAATTCATCATAAGTTATACTTGAATTTGACATAATATTTTCTTCATCTGGTTTAAATATATTTTCTAAATTAATTTGATTATCTTTACAATATTTATGAATTAAATTAAGTAGAATATTTGCAAAATGTTCTATTGTCTGTCTTATTGGTCCAACATAACATGTAAATTTTGGATGATTAGCAAAAAATTGATGAATATCAGAATTTTGTTTTAAATTCAATGTTAAACCCTATATATATATATGTTAATTTATATATAAAAAATAATAATATGATCATGAAACATACAGTTAAATCAAGTTCTTCTAATGAAATATTATCAAGTTTAGATAATGCTTCTAACATAATCATCATACAACGTGCATCAATATGATTTTTTCCTATCTAAATAATAAATCATATAAGATTATAATAATAAATAATTTAAATAAAATTTTTTTTTTTTTCCTACTTGAAATATTTTTAATGCTTGATTTGTTGCAGCTGCAACAAACATTTTATAAACTAAAGATTCTTTTCCAATAATTAATATTGATGGATCTTCTTTAATTTTTGTATCATATCGACAAAATATTTGATTTCCAGATAAATTTAATATATTTAAAATCATATTACGTGTTAATGAATTTGTTAATAATTCTACTGTATCATTTGCAAAACTATTATTTGATAAATCAAGTGAAATTAATTTATTATTTTCACCAATTGCTTCAGCTAAAGCACGAGTACCCTTTAAACGAATACTACACCAACTAATATCAAGATTAAGTAATATATTATTTTCACCTGATATAGAAAATTATATATTCAATTTTTATATTAGAAAATAAAAAAGTTTATATTTACGTAGCCATTTAGCAACATAGACTCCACCATCTTCATCTAATTTGTTATGACTTAGATTAAGATTTCTAAGTTTTGAATGTTCCTATTTATATTTATTTAAATGGCTTTTCTTTCTAAATGAATTACATACCTCGAGTTTTGAAAGAAAAATGTTGATATCACTCGCTGTTAATTCATTACCTATATGAAATAAACATATAAAAATCGGAAATTTCACTTAACAATACAGACCGGCAATGCTTAAAATTTTTAAATGAGTATTATATGCAACAGCAGCTGCTAATTTACGAATACCTTTTGTACCAAGATTATTATAGGATAAGTCCTATGATATAGAATATCAAATTAATTGTTTTAAATGAACAAAATCTAAACTATGAAATCAATAAATTATAATAACGAGAATAACAGAATAAATCACTTATTTAAAAAATATAATTTCTTAAGTTTGATATAATATTTAAAGTAATTCAATAGTCGAATTACAATATCACACAAGATGATCTACTAATAAAATTCAAAAAACTATCTATTACTTTGTAACATAAAAGATACAAAATTCTTAGGAAAAGAAAAAACATGATGAATCTAAACTTCTCATATTAACTTCAACATAACAATACAGTAAAAATTTAGTAATTTATTTTTCAAAAAATTTTTTATGCATACATTACTTACATATTCTTCAATATATGTATTTTCCATAAGAATTTGATAGATATGTGACATACCATTACTACCAATATTATTTCCTGATAAATTAAGTGATATAACAGATGTATTACGCTAAATATTTATAATAGAAATGTAAATATATATATATGTTGGAAATATTCTATTTAAAAGAAAAAAAAACTTACAACAAGAGCTACAGCTAAAGCTTGTGATCCTTTTGGTCCAAGTCCATAATTTTCTAAATTAATTTTTGTTGTATGTAATGATCGTACAATCATTGAACATGGACAAATATTTAATCGTTTACATGTTTCTTCATAAACTTGTAAACTTGATTTATCTATTGATGCAATACTTTCTATTAAGAAACAATAGACAAAGAAAAAGGTTTTTTTTTTTTTTCTTCTATTAATTTCATAATGTTATATTCGAAATTTTACGTTTATCAAAATCCGTATTTAATCCATCATCCCACTTTTCATTATCAAATTGAACGGTAGATGTTGATGGTATATTTTTACCAAGTTGAGAATTTGTTATTCGATCTTTTGTATCATTATGATGCAGATCATTTTCAGTTTGAAGTGTCATAGAACGTGTTTTTAATGAATTTATACGAACATGATGTGATGGTCGACGATGTTGAGATGTTGTTTGTGCTAAATTTGTATACTCATTTTCAATAACACTCGATTTACGTGAACCAATAATAAGTTCTAATGTTAGATCACGTTTAAGATTACCAGCACTGAAATCATATAAACGTGGCCGTGATTGTTGCAAACGAACAGATTTAGTATCACCACGTAATTGTGAATCTACAGATTTAGTAGTTGCTGGTCGACTAGAATTATCTTCAGCATTTAAATCAACATTTGTTTTTATATCAATTTCTTCTTCCAAATCATCATCTTGCAAAAGTGCATCATCACCTAATTCAGATGTGACATCTTCCATAATATCATTTAGAGTCTATTTATTGAAAATACACAAAAAAAAAATTAATTAATTAATTTCTTTTTTTCTTTCTTTTTATTACCTCAGTTGAATACATTTTTCAAGTTTTGTTTATTTCAATTTTTTTTTCTTTTTTACTTTTATAAACGACATCAACGATTTTTGTTGTATGTATTGCATCCATAGAAATTATTATTATTATTAGCCTGAGGGTTAATAGAAAGAACAAGTGTTGTAAAACATAACCATCTCGATCGATGATGGTCGAACATTCATTATTCCTAACAAATAAATTTTGAAGAAAAAAAAAAAAGAAAAAAAACAATTCGACCGACTCATTTCAAGTTTTAACTTTGAATGCATTATATGTTTTCGTCAGAATTACAGAGGAGTAGACGTGAACTCAATAACTCCTCAATGGGAACGACTAGTAATTTACAGTGTTTGGAGCAGTCGAAAGAAGAGAATTTCGTGTGTTTTTTTTTCTGATGCTCTATAAGATAAATTTGTTGTAAAGTTGATCATTTGTGCAATACATTTTAAAAAATATATGGAAGCAATGGTTTCATTGCGATATAATTAGTTTTAATTTTCACATGTGCTTTAGATAGAGCGAGTGCGAATCAATAGATCAAAACAC